CCCCCGCACTCCCCGGCCCCCCCTGCCCCTCCTCAGCCGCGCACCGAGGGGCACCGGCCCCACATCCCCTTCCCGCCCGCCTCTCCCCGCTCCCTCGGCCGGGCGGGAAGGAGGCGGCGAAGACAGCCACCCTCACCAGCGCCTCACCTAGTCCCAGCCTCCGAGGGCCGAGGCGGCTCCTGAGCCGGCGGTGTCCCCCCTGCACCGACCCTCCCGGCGGCAGGGGCGGGAGAGCGAGTTGGGCCCGGGGGAGGCGGTCCGGGCGGGCGGCGGAACCGCCTCATCAGCCGGCGCCTCTCCACATGACGGCGCCATCATGTGAGGGGAGGGCTCGGCCGCGCCGCCGCACAGAAGGGCCGCCGCCTCCTTCCTTCCCCGCTACTGCTCCCTCCACATCTCGCCTCACCTCAGGCGCTGACGGAGCCCAGCACCCTCCTGGCTGGCAGCAGCGGGGAGACCGCCGGGTGAGGAGAGGCGGCGGACGGGGTTGGTCTGCTCCCCGCTCCTTGAAGCGGGGTTGGAGCCGTGAGGGAGAGCGCTAGGGGAGGGAGGCCGGGGCGGCCCGGAGCCCGGCGGTGGTGGGGTAGGGCTGTAACTCGGAGCCCGCTTGAGGGGGTCTGGGGCCCGCCGAAGAGGTTGCTGAGGCGGTAATGGTGTCCGGCGCCTCGCCGGGCGGGAAGGCCGGGCTCCCGGGTCCCGTTTCGGAGCAAGAAGAGGCGCTGTCATCTTCAGTTCGTCTGGGTGGTTCGGAAGGTTGTTGCTGAAAAGTCAACTCCTAACTTCCCGTCCGTGTTTCTGAATGCAAAAGCTTATTTTCAGCAGTGCTGCGCTCCAAATCTTGCAAGAAACACGGCAATAAATGAAACTGACCAGGAAATGCGAGCAGAGCATGGAAATTAACCAGCCCTGCGGCAATACAGAAAGGAACGGAGCTGTATCGTTTCCATTTGCTATAAAAGTTTTCCTTGTTGCTAAAGCCTGTTAGGATCGCTGTGGTTGTATTTTGAAAGTAGATGGCTATTATCAACACATCTTGTACCATTTTTTGCATTCCTTGCTGCCATCTCCTTGCATGGTCTCAACTGCTTCAGTAGTTGTGATGGTTTCCTTACTCAATAGTTCTTTTCAACTTTTCTGGTGCAAAAGGTCCTTGCCTGGTCACACAAGTGACTGAGTCAAACACAGGGTATGTGCTGAAGATTTTTTTTTTTTTTCATTTTACAAAGTTGTGGACAATTTAGATTTCATAAACCGAGAAACTTGAGAGTATGTGTAAAAATACATATAGATTCTATCCAAAATATTAGTACTCTGAATGTGTGTCATTTTGTTTTGGCAGGTTATTAATGGCTCAGCCAGTTTTCTCATCAGACTTTCTTCTTCAAATAACCTAAAGACTAACGGTTGGAACCTGACTGCAGGACTTCTGCTGCTCTGTCACCTCCAGCTCCACAATGGTTGATTTTCTAGCTGAAAACAATCTCTGTGGTCAGGCAATTCTTCGGATTGTCTCCTGTGGAAATGCCATCATTGCAGAACTTCTGAGACTTTCCGAATTTATTCCTGGTGTTTTCAGGCTAAAGGATAAGGCTGATCAACAGAAGTATGGGGACATCATATTTGATTTCAGCTATTTTAAGGTAAATCCTTTTCTTTTATTATTAAACAACTTCTTAAAGCATTGCTGTCGTGCATGAGGATGCTTCACATTATGAAACAGCCATTCTGACTATTGTCAGCATTCTGACTAGCATTCTTCAAAATTGACTATCATGACTTCTTACTTGCTCAGCTTTTACCAAAAATTCACCAAACTGTGATAGCAACTGGGACATGCTTGCACGCTAAAGTTCCACTTCTGGATTGTCTTGTATTCTATATACTTCTGGTCATACTCAGCCTCATCTTACTCATTTCAGTGAGCAGAAACAGCCTGGGGAAGGTTCTGTGCTTAGACCTTATAAGCAGAATATAAGTATAACTGGTACCAGTACTAAGAGTATCAGGGCAAGAAGGGGACAGCAGCTTTTAGTGCATTCAAGAACAGTCCCAGCTATACCTTCCAAAATGTTTGATGAGTCATCTAGCCTGTGAACTTTGATGGATACTGAGAATATAAAACGTGACTATTGTATGCTGGGGGTGTGTAGTGTTATTGTTGTTGTTATTATTACTATTTTCCTGCAGGATCATTAAATTATCCTTTCAGCAGCAGGTTCTGAGCCTGTGCAGTTGGTTGTTTTCCTGTGGAGCAGGACTGCGGGCAGTACGCCCATCTTCCTTTGGTTATCTGTAGCTTATTCTTTGCAGCCATGAAAACTGCTTTCTGCTTTCCTGTTTCACAGTACTGGGATTGTTCATTCACTGGACTTGTCACATGTGCTGAATAAACAAATAGATCAAAGAGTAATATCCATGAAAAGCCCTTATTTCTCTTACAAAATTAAGCTTCTTGCAGTACTTATTTCCCTCTGCCATTTTCCAGCATGATTAGGAAGGAACTACAGAGACTATCTGATCTGACCTTATCTGGATTGTACAATGCAAGAAGTGTTAATAGTAAAGCAAGGGGGGAGGGATTTATTTTTTTTAGTAAAATTTGTAAATTTTAAGCATTAACTATGAGCCTTCGACACCGAAAACCCTGAGCACAAGTTATCTCCCTGATACATTTAGATCTAAGTGCTTGCTGTTTTTAAACAAATTACTTGAAATTTTAAAAGCAGGCAGGTATAATTAGAAATATGGTTATCCTTAAAATTGTAAGATTTTTTGGATGTTAAGGAAGCACAACAGTGCTGCTGCTTTTCAGAGTAATCACCCCAAAAGTCTAGAAAAGACATACTTACAAAGCAGAGGTTAGTGAGTTTACAGATATTTTCATTGTGAATGTCCCATATTCATGATTCTTAGAATTACCTAATGAGAAGAGATTTGAGATTTTGAAAATTCAGGCGGTTTACTTTGGGCATTTGAACTTCACGGGCAGTTTGGTGCTTTTATCCTTTATTTTATGTAGGTATTCTGCACAAAAAGAGAAGCAAAGAGCATTTTTTAAACCACACCAAAAAATAACAGCTGAGTGTTAAGCTTGATATTTTATTTTAAGTTACTTTTATGGAGTTCATGTTGACTAAATCCTTTTAAGACATGATCTCATGCTGTCATAAGTGGTCTGTGGAATGATGTTAACAGTATTTTCAACTGAAAGTTAATATTTTCTACTGAACATTAAGAGTATTTTCATTTAAATTGTGATGGTGAGACCAAATGGTGATTGCAAGAAATGTTGGCAGTGGTAAATGGTTAGAAAAGTTTGTACCATTGCTTTAGGGAATTTAGGCTCTTCATCCCAACCCTTTTTCCCTCAAGATTGTTAATGCCAGTTTCTGGATTAATCTGGGGGACTAGCACTGAGCTAGATCCAGAGTCTGTAAAAAAACCAAGGAAGTATGACACTTTCAAGAAGTTTAAATGTATGAGAAGGTACTAAGCTTCGTGAGGCTTCAATGTTATGATTTCTGTCAGAGAAATTAAACAGATCCAATGTGTAAAGCAAAAAAATCCATCAGGGAGATTGTTAGCACTATAAAATGCACACAGTGACTTCAGATGCACTGGGGCTTTACCCATAAGTGTTAACTATTCTTTTGCATTGGTTACCTGGGATAAACCATATTTAAAACTTTGTAACAAAGTATAAAACGCTTCTTTATGGAATAAATGTTCAGTCATAAAGCAGCTTTGAAAACTACAGATCCTTGTTTTAGTAAGTGATGTTAATTCTGATATTGTGCACACAGTGGTGGTTGTGAGTGTTCTGTGTCCTACTTAAGAGAAGTAAAATAGAAGTCAAATATTGTCTCTAAAATTTAATTTTTTTTCTTAGGGGCCTGAGGCATGTGAAGGCAAACTGGAAGCCAAACCTGAGTTACTGGACTTAGATGAAGAATTTCGTGAAAACAATATTGAAATTTTGACGAGATTTTATCTAGCTTTTCAGAGTGTACATAAATACATTGTAGATTTAAACAGGTATGGTATCTTAAGTACGTGTGAATTCTCCTAAAGTACTGTTTAGTCTTAATAATGAGAAGGTTTTAGCAGTTTTACTAAATTTTGGAGTGCAAGCCTTCTCAGTACTCTCTTCTCAGGCTGTTATCCATCCAAAAGAAGATTAAGAGGATGTTAACTGTAAATTACAAAGTATCCTGCAGTGTCTTTCATATACACCATCAGGATATGGAGGAGGCTTTTGCCAATTGGTTGGCTCTGGCCAGGAGTTCCAGCCTCTCGTTTCATAGTAGAGAATCTCTTCTGTGTCTGAAAGACTCTGTCCTGCTTGTACTAGGGAAATGTTCTGATGTGTCTGTTGACTTTCAGAGAAAATTGACCAGTTGAGTTCTGAGGATGTATGATTTGAGAGCAATGACCAACTCTTTGTTATGATTCCTAGATATTTAGATGACCTCAATGAAGGAATTTACATTCAGCAAACATTAGAAACGGTCCTCCTTAATGAAGATGGAAAACAGCTTCTGGTAAGTATTGAACAGTTCTGCAATAGTACAAAATGAACCAATGAATTTAGTGCCAAACTAGACAATAGATTTAAATTTACTGAATGCATGGAAATGCTACGAGTCACTTTTAGGAGATCAAAGACCAAAAACGTATAGCCTGCTGTTTTTCATATTGTATTGACTATGTAGTTGACATTGGGTTAGTTTGCCAGTACGTCTTTGTTTGTTACTACAAAATAGTATTTATGTGATTTCTTCCCTTCATTCTTCCTTTTTCTGAACAGTGTGAAGCGCTCTATTTATATGGAGTCATGCTACTGGTCATTGACCAGAAGATTGAAGGAGAAGTCAGAGAAAGAATGTTGGTTTCCTACTACAGATACAGGTAATGTGTATTGTTTTACAGAAGCGCTCAAGACTGAGAGGATGTAACATGCAGTATGTTCAGGTTATTAAATTAAGATAAATCAGCAACTTTTTGACTGTCTGACTATAGGGATAGACTCTGATAATTCTGCAGGGCTCTCTGCATGTTAACAGAACTCTTTGCATTAGCTGATTTTCCAGGTCTAACTGCAAAACTGAAGTGACAGATTTTTCGTGCTGTCACAATAGAAATTTGAAGTCCACTGACAAATAAACTTCAGCTAAAGCTTTAGTGTTGCATCAGCTATGAAAATATCACAGGTTCCCAAAGATTCGAGCATATCTTAATGAAAAGTAGTTACTTTTCAGTAGTTACAGTCGTGCTTGCTTAGTCCAATCAATAATGAATTTCCAGGGTAGGTTTACAG